TTATGGCCCCTTAAGGGGGTATAAATTTTGAGGCTTTGTACTTAAACATGTGGGAGAAAAAATGAGACGGTCCCAAAGACTGGCTTTATTTCTTTTTTGGAAACCTCAGAATATTTTGCCTCCTTCAGGATTGCTATGCTCCCCATTGGCCCCCCCCATTCCCCAGATCTGCCTTTGATAAAACCCTCATGGTGAGTGCCAAGCAAGGTCAGCAATCATCAATTTGACCTAAAGGACGTTTAATATTTTGAGGCATGGCTAAAAGCTATATTTGAATGAAATCACTGCAAACAATCTATTCAAAGTCAAGTCACTAGTTATTTCGAATAAAAAAATATATGTAATATATGCATTCCTTTACCATGACCCGAATAACGCATTATATAGAACTAACTCATTTGTAACTCTAGTCAATAATATTCACTATATGAACTGCCTTTAATTTTTAAATTAAGCACATTAAAAAGCAGAAATGTTGAGGCCCTGCCCAAGACCATGCTGTGGGCACGGATACTGCAGGGCTCCATGGGGTGCAGTTTGGAAAGTAGTTTAGTCTTTTGTCCTGTGATTTCCTTGAAAAAAATATTTTTGAAATCCTTCCCCGCATTAGTCGAAGAGTTGACTGCATCCATTCCTGTATTTTCATGATCATCTTTTGTTTTGTTTTCGATATTTTGGCCTTTGCATGCTTGCTGGGAAATTAACAAGCACATTATCAAACATACAGGAATACCTGTAGGTACATGGATACTGCAATGAATTACCAATGTCTCTGGTGAATGTTTGAATGAGTGGGAGGGGTCATTGGATTGCTTGGAAATGGTTCAGGCTGTAAAACTAGTGATTTGGAATTTCTTCAAACACAAGGTGAAAGAAGGTGAGGGAAGTCATTTAAATTAAACACAACAAGTCTTACGGAATAAGTCGAGAATGTGTGGTCAGTGGGCTGATATGGTGTTTAGAGGTGTGAAATGGTTTGTAAAAGAATGCAAACTAGAGCAGGAAACGTAGCTTTGTGTTGAGCAGATTAGCAAAAATGCTCTGGATTTCATCAGAGAAGGAGGAAAACATGGTACCAAGACCAAATTCTGTTTATAAGAAACATTCAAAAAGAGTGATAAATGAAGGTAACATTAGCTTACTCAGTTGAATTTATGAAAAATAATGGACCGTAAACTGGCTGCAAAATATCCAAGTCCAGTGGAGCAGTCTGAGCATAACAATCAAGACTGAATCAGAAACGAAGTTCTATGAAGATGTACATGTAGTTGTAAAACAGTACTACATGTAGGTGTGAATGAAGTATTGCAATGATACACTAGTTTATGAAGTAAGTACCAGTCTGGGATCCCAATGTCTGTGTTGGTGGTAGTCCCGGATTTGTTAGACATCTGTGGCATGTTGACTGATGCTAGTGCACACACCCAATCCTTGAGTGCAAGGAAGCATCGGCTTTGCCATTTTGCTTCTACATGTATGTCTCTCACTTCCTGTTGCTCATTGGTCCTTGTTGGCATTAATCTTGGACTTCAGAAGCTAGCATATCATCTGAGAGGAGAATCTAGAAGATAGTTCCATTGGGCAGGCTGTTTGTAGCATTGATTTTTGTGAGTGCCTGGCTCTCTGCTTGTAAAAGGTTTTGAGCAGTGGAGTAGGTGAGTCTTACCAATTCAACCAACTTTGCTATCAACCTGTGTTTTTTTCAGTGGATTTCCCGCAGGTTGGCAAGGCATATTCAGTAATACACATAGCAACTGGAACATGCTTCCAATGGTTATCACTGAGTTAGGATGAAGGCATCAGGAGGAAACCATCCTTTAAAAAGAAATCAAATAAATCATAAAAAAACAAGTGAAAGAAAATATAACATTGGGCAGGGAATGAATTTCACCGATGTGCTTTGAAATTGCTTTTGAACAGACCATTTTCTACTTCTAAAAAATGTAGGTACTTTGACGGATAATGGAGAACCACAATCAAGCATATTTATCCAAGAAGATAAAGAGCTGCTAGTTTTCACTAAGAAAGGCAGCAAACAGCAGATCCAGCACCTTTCAGTATATCATTTTGCAAAGAGAAGCAATCCTCAGGAACACTCTGTGCTGGTCCTTATCAGCTGGACCAGCATATTTGCTCTGCTGGTTTTGGTCAGTCAAAACTGTGAATTCACTATTGCGTTCAGAAATATTACCAGTAAATGTACATTCAGTACTTACACATGTTAACATAAACTTTGTCACCATGAATTTCTGTACATGTGGCAAGCATGAAACCTTTGCTGAGACCATTCAATATATTATGCTTTGAAATATAACTTTGTCTAAGCACATATTTGGCTGCCAGCAGAGCTCTCACTCTCTCCGTCTTCCACGCTGCAGAGGACGATCACAATAAATGGTTGCTGACCAGTTTGACCCTAAAATTACCTGTTTGGGAGATCAATGTGTGCGCTATCCTCATGCTGACGGTAAGCTTGTAGCTTATCCCTTCTGGTAATGAGATTTCAGTTGAGTAAATCAATTATTAAGAGGTGTATTTTCTGGCTGTTTTAATGATCGTTATTGAAACGTTCTGACGTGTTTACGTGCACTATGCCTGTAACCAACTCATGTACTGTACATGTACATTTCTATTGCAGTAGCCTGGCTGTGGGTGAAGAGAGCACGCTGGCTTGGGGTTTTTTTTTTCCGTTTACTACCATGGCTGGGCTGGGGTTTGTGTTCACTACTGTAATATTATTCTGGTTGACTGCCGATGATAGTTCTTGATATCATCCTGGGATGGGGAACAACTAAGAAATACCCCTGTGGTGTTGAGTCATTTCTCAAGTGGTACACACCCTCGTCACACCGAGGTAGAGTTCACACCCCCCTCCTTGACAGGAGCCGTCCCACCCCAGTTCCATGACATTACATTACCAGTTAAAATTTGCATGTTTCTTATAATTACATTATCTCAACTCAACAGAGTACTGTTGCTAATCAAGGTTTGAAACCAATCACTTCACTTTGACCAACTAAATTGGGATGGAAAATTGCTTCGTTTGTATTTGTAACCTACCCTTTCTGGATTTTATACAAATAACAATTAAACACATCCCCTGTCAATTACATAAACTAAGTACACAGATCATGTTTTTCTGAAATACTTTTAGTGAAGATATAAGTGTATATAACACTCATATTAACGAGTGATCGTTGACCACACTTTACCACAAGTTAAATGAATTTTACCACAGGAATATTACCACACAAGTATAACCACTAAAAGTACCAGAGGAATAGTACCACAAGAATATTACCACAGGAACTGCACCCACAGGACAAATCAATCTTACCACAGGAATAGTACCACAAGAATCACCACAGGATTTACCACAGGAATCTTAACACAGCAAAAGTACCACAGGATTAGTACCACAAGAATTTCACTGCAGTCATTCAATGTACCCACAAATTTTACCACTGGAATATTACCACAGGAATACTACCACAGGGTGCTGTGGTACATGTCCCCCAAACCATAGGATTTTCCTATGGTATTTCCTGTGGTATTTTCCTATTTTTGTGTGGTAGTACCAAAGGACATTTTTATAAGGGATATCACACGAGCAAGCTCAAAGTATGTTCGTGAACAGTGTGAAGCCAAAGTGACAAAAATTCGCAAATATGCAGATTTGCAAACCACACTAAGAAACCAGTATAGGGCCACTAATGCAAAACACGATGTCTCTTGTGACAAAACCTCTCCGTTGAGATCATCGCAAGCCAGGCTCACCACCACACAAAAGACTCAGCCCAAGCAGAAGAGGAAAAGCTGTTAATTCGCCAGGGGAACTCCATCTACCTGTAGGGTAAGTTGGTTGCTTGTGGAAACTACTGTTAGACATGTACATGTAGTATGTACATACATGTAAGTGGATTTCATTTCATCAATCTCAACAGTTGATGTTGATGATTTCCTACCCAACTTACAACATGACAACGAACGTCTGGGGCAAGAATGGACAGTGCTGATTGGCAAAATCATTGCACAGCATATTCCATCTCTCAAGTGGTTCAGTGAACACATTCCAGCTAACGTTTCCAATGCTTACACAACTGAACTTCAGCAGAAGTCCAACAATGTAAGTAGATATACATGTATTACAGTTCATTTAGTATCCTTCATATTATTCATCAAAAATAATTTTGGCATGCATTATACACCAAAGCATACGCGGCTGCGAGGGTGGCTGTGCACTTGTGCACTCTTGTGAAGCTGTGTAGAGGAAGGGTTAATCACATCAACTTTGGTCAGCTGAGTCATTCAGCAATAAACGAGGTTTGACAGATTCTCTTACTGCAGTGCATTAACCCTAACAATCCTGAATCCTTCAGGTTTGATGGACATGTGTATAGTGGTATACTCTTTATTTGTTAGGCCTTTACACAGCAGTGTTTGGAATTAGAGCTTTTAAGCAATTATTACATTTTAGGAGAAAAAAAATGTAATTAATCTGTCTCTTTTACGTTCAAAGAAAACACCTGAGAAAAAGAAACTGAAGGGGGAAAGCCAAAAGTAAAGTGTAGTCAAGGAAGCTAGCAGTGAAAAAGGTCAGAGGCAGCTAAAGCAAAAGAGGCTCAGATAGCTGCAAATGAAATAATGGTTGAAAAACTAATCATTGATCATTCTGGCAAGGAAGCAGCTTTACAAGCACTGGATCAACTTCAATTCACTTCAAGCAACATAGTTTCAAGCAGCACGGCTTCAAGCAGCATAGCTTCAGGCCCTTCCACATCTCTCTCTTTGTCGGGAATCTACTGCATGCACATGAGACAACTTTTGTACTTGGACGGTAAAACAATTGTTCAATACAGTTGGCAGAAGACTGACAGTCAGTCACAGTTGAAGCAAAGTAATGAGGCACTGCCGCAGGCAGAGGGCTTGAGAGTCAACCAAATGTCAGAGAAGAAAAAATTACTCAAAGCAGAAATATAGAGCCTTGCAAGCCAACTCACTGGGCTTTTGTTCAGGACTAAAGGCCCACTTGTCTGCCCCTGTAACTGTGGAGTTTGTGGACTTCTTGTCCTCCTGCATTTTTGGAAATTCAGCCAGAGAGACCGAGTTTCTCTCATTGTCATCAGTTTCAACAACCATCACTTCACCAACCCTGGCACCTACAAGTACCTTCCCACTAGCTTGTGCGCACTCCATTGTTGAGTTTGACACCCACCACTTTGAACCCTGTGCCCATAACTTCATACGGCTCTGTACTCACCACTTCGTCCACTCCTGTAGCTGCTCCAAAAATGGAACACCCAAGTGATATCGAGATGGTTGACATGGGTGAAGTCTCCTTTAAGAAGGTTGTGCGGGACTCCTGCCTATCTGCTGCTAAGGGGTCACCCGCCAAGCTGACTTAAAACCTCCTGCAGGCCTTCTTCACAGAAGATATACTGGCAAGTAGCTCTCGGGTGGGAAACAGAGGACGTCAACGTCTACCTGCTCATGTCATTAAGGCGATCACAGGATGATAACCAGGGGGAGAAAACAAATCCCCACACTAGAAAAGGGAAATCAAGGAAACATAAAAGATACTACAAGGGAACATGGCCAATACCAAAGGGGAAGCGACAAAAGAGTGCTATGGGGGAGAAGAGACTTTCAACTTTGGACTCACTATTTGAAACATTTTTGTGCAACATTTCAGAATTGAAAACCAAACTTTTTCTACATGATAAGAATAAGGTTGAACATTCTACCCATGTGGAGTTCATTGCCTGTCAGAATGACTCTCTGAACACCTTTCAACACCAAATTCTTGCCAGTAATCATGATATTATTACATTAAGGTCAACTGTAAATAAAATGGACCAGAGAAGGACCAGCTCCTTCATACCCTCAAAACAAATAGGGAGGAGCGACTCAGGGCAGAGAAGAAGCGAGATGAGCTGGCCCAGCAGGTTGAGCACCTTCAAGAAGAGAACCACCAGCTTGCATCTGAGAATGCTGTTTTTTGCACCAAGCAGATAATCCAGCTGGAGCAGTATTCAAGCACTTCAGCTAGGCATCTTGTCCTCGTCGCAAGACCAACCGGCACCAAATCGAAACCCCAGACACCTGTACCTATCCGACTCCCCCCAAGCTCCCAGCTCATCGGCAACTTCTAAGACTTTGGAAGGCAGGGTGAGGGAACTGATGAAGGTATGTCTCTTTTGTGTGTTTATACTGACCACATTCATTTTGTAAACACTTCAGTTTAGTCTGAATTTCACTTTTCAGCCGCCTTATATGCATTAAATTAAGTTCAATTAAATAGCAACATACTAATTGAAAGTTACCAAACCAATGTTATTTCAGTTTAAAGGTGTTTTGAACCAGAAGAAGAGGACAACAAACTGAACAATCCTACGCTGCAATTTAAAAGATAAGTTTCTTCCTTTGATAACTTTTATTCATGCTTTAATTTTCAGATGTGCCAGATGATATCTTCGAAGGAGAGCCCAACTTCACAGGATATCATCACGACACTGGCATCATTCTTCTGGAAGTTCCCCTCCCTTAGCATCCGATGCTTGTCACAAAGCTGACCTCTCTCTGCGGAAAGGTAAAATAAAATATTCAGACAAACCGTGTGGAAAGTTACCAGAGTTGTTTTGTGCAGTTATATACACTTGATTATTAAGAAATGTAGCAAGGTATGAAGAAAAGTCTAATTGTGTTAAAAAATCCTTAAAAAAACCTTGAGTCCCCATGGAGTATGTACACAACTGGTCAAGGTTTACTCAAAAATCCCAAAACTTGCCACTTCAAAGGAAATTGCTCTGTGTGATGCATTTATCGCTTAATCTTTGAAGATTGTTCATGTAATTGTAAATTTTATATTTCTCTTGCATTGTATTCACAGAACTGACTGCCGGAGAGATGCTGGACTTGAAGGTGCTGCTGAGGTTGCCCATGCACAAATTCAGGCAGCTGCGCACCCTCTTATCCAATCATGGCGTCAGGCTTTTTTCCAGTGACAGGCATGTCCACAGGGAGTTAAGAGGTAACTCGCTTCGGTAGCACTTATAATAGTCACAGGCAGTCAAAAATAGCATCTCCCAAGACAGATAATCATTGCGACAGGTGCTGAGATCAATTAAATTAACTCAAAAAGAAGAACGCAGGCAACTGGTCGTCAAATCTAATCAATCAAGTAATACCAACAGTCATGTTTAGTGACTATAAAGTGTTTTACATGGTCCCTTGACTGATGTAGATTGAAAGGACAAGTTATCCACAATGGATATTTGCACTGAGATTTAAGTAAAATTTCCATTCTCAAAACTTTGATTTGCATTATTATCATCATTTTAGGTTGTCATGATATATCAGAGACGACCACCGAGCTGGGGGAGCTGCAGATGAAGAAGAACGTTGGCTCGTCATCTCCAACTGATGTGGCTTACATGCGCATCCGAAATCTGACAAGCCACGTTGAGAATCTCATCGGGAGCCACATGGAAGCAGGGGATGTCTGGTACAGCACCAATTTTCGGGGAGAAGTATGGATAAAAGTTCTAGGGGATAAAGGGGGGCCGGGCACCAAACTTGCGTGCCGGATATGTAACTTCAATCAAAGTAATTCAGCCGATTAAACAGATATTCTTGCCCTCCATAATGCAACTGATTTGTATAATATGGCCATGATTTTCTCTCCTTTCAAACAACAGATTTTACAGCTCCAAAGAAATTCACAATTAAGGGTTGGGGACAAATAAAATATGCATTTGTTTGGCTGGGGATTACAAGTTTTTAACAAAGGGTATGGGCCACATGGGTTCTAATGCATCCTACCCATGCCTTTGGTGTTATGTACCCCTCTCAGCCTTGCCACAGGTAAAGATGCCCACTCCCCTAAAATCAGGGATGAGGCTGGCGAGGGCTGGATGGACAATCCATCATGGTACTAGCAAAGAGAACCTGAGGAGATTGTCCAGGATCTTGCCGATAAAAAGGCAGATCCTAGGAGGGGTGGTAACACCAAGACAAATGGCCCATACCACAACTCTATCTCCAGCGAGCCTATCTTGCCAATCATCCATGATCTAATGCACATACACGTATATAGCTCCACCCATCTTACATATTATGTTAGGTCTTGTTGTAAGGTTCTAAAGAAATATTGAGTGTTTGTGTAGGGACACTGATCAAGGGGACCTGAGGGCAGTGGATGATAAATTAAATGATAAGTGGCAGGAGTTGTCTATTGAGGCTAAAATGGGCGAGAGAGAGCACAGCCGAGCAGCGAAAGACTTGAAATATGAAGAGAGGTTGTTAGAGGAATTCCGGAAGGTGAGAAGAGGACGAAGAGGTAGGGGTGAATGTGATCCATGTGATTTTTCTGCTTGCGCTGTCGCTGTAATGGAAGGAGAGGTTGAAGGAGATGTGGAATGGTTTCAGTGTGATGAGTGTGGTAATGGGCGAGAAAAAGGATGGTTTCATAAAGATTGTGTCAGATTAAAGGGTGTTGATATGGAGAAGAAAAATTGTCCAGTTTGTAAGGGGGAAGAGAATTGTTAAGTGTTAAGGATGTTGTGTGGAAGCAGGAAATAGTTGTAGATAGGCTAAAAGAGAGGGTAGGACAAATAAAAATGGGATGGGACAAAAGGAAGGGTGCCCTTCAGAAGATATATGATGAAGTGAAATCTAAAATGGGGCCCCTGGAAAAGAGACTCGGTGAAGTGCTGGAAAACGACCTGGGGGTAAAAAAGCAGGGCTATCATTCACAGAGTTTTGTTGCGATCACTGCAAGATAATTTTAAATCAATCATAACAGTTGATTGATGTGCTCGATGGATTTGAGGAGCAAGGGGCACACAGAGAACTTTTTTCTAGGTTAAGGGACATATTCCACATCACTGAGAAGGGGTTTTTATCGGTCCAAGAAAGCAAGATCTTTCCCTTTGCCACTAAGCATCCACTCACAATCAGCTACAGTGGCACAGCCATGTACACCACCATTCTCATCTTCCGCGCAACAGACGTCTGCCAGACTTTAACCTGCATTCCCAACCTTTGGTCTACCCAACGCATCTTCCAGATCAGCCGTATCTCCCAGAACAACTGCATCTACCAGACCAATCGCATCCCCCAGACCAGCCGCACCTCCCAGACCAGCCACACCTCCCACACGAACCGCATCTCCCAGACCTGGGAACTTCATTTCAAGGACCACCAATTACATGTTTACCTTCGTCATGCCACAGTAATTTATCACAATAATTATACAAATTGCAAATAAGACTTCATTTGCAAAGATTGAAAATGAAGCAATGTCGCATTGCTGGCATGACAGCATGTAAACGCAATTGTCCATGACATGGTATCACATGCCCCCCCCCATCATGTGATAGGTTGCCATGGGATGGAATTTAAGAAGTACCAATTCTGAATTCTTACATGTACAGGTATGAGCACAATTTATGAGCACAAACTGAACAGCACATGAAGCTATAACAAACAAATGCCACACAATTGGGACTATCAAAAATCCCTGTGAATTTTACATTGAAGTACTGTTTATGCTTTCGTCAAACTTTGTTACTGTTATCAATAAAAGTAGCACATTTTGGACTTGAATGACAAACCAGTAAGAAAAGTTTGTGTGGACTTACTGTATGTATCTGTTACCACTGCACTGCACTTCAATCTTTACAATGCCTGTACATAAATCTCATTTAGAACAAGTTGTAAAACTATGCCCTATATCAGCCATTTTTTTTATTTGTCTGTTTTTCAGTTTTGCACTCACAAAGACAAGGCTCCATTGGACTATGCTCCACAATCACATGATGAAATACACAACGTTTTTCGGCGTGTAAATTTTTTGTATTTTTATTAAAAAAATTTTTTTCCATTATTATTTTTTTATGTTTTTTCCAGATTTTTTCCAGAAGTAAGAGATACATACATGTTTGAATTTTCTGCACAGCTTGAAGTAGAGGTATACACCACGTTCCTCTCACATATAGGACAGCTATCTCATGCAGCACAGACTCACATCCACACCTACCACCCCCACACGCACAATGGAACGGACATTTTAAGCCCTGTCTGCACTGGGTTTTAAATTTTGAAGAAAGAAATGGGCAAATATTTTCAGCGTCTGAACTTGGGCGTTTATATGGAAAAATTTTACTGAGACTGTACGGAGCAACTACGCTTTCAGT